GGTCGGGAATTGACAACACTTAAAGCGTATTGGGGATCGACCCGATTTTAATCACCCCTGAGGCCTTCGCCTCTGCTTCAGCATTAATTATGGCGACAAGAGCCGCCACTCTCTGCTCGTAAGCGGGGGCCGAGGGAAAGTCCGAAAACGCTCGCAGGGACTAAGGTAACACAATCCGCCTCGCATGCAACATCCAGCAGGCGACGCGTTCTCAAGCAGAACTTTAACTTTCATGTTAGGGCCAAACCCCCGGCGAAAACGGCGAAGGACATCCAGTCCCTTACGCGTAGGCTTACCACAGACCTCAGCGAGCTTCAGGGCTCTCCCTTGAGACCACCCCCCGCATTTCAAACATAGAATCTGCTGCTCACGACCAGGGCCGAGGACGAGGACAAAACGAGGAGCATCAAGAGCCGAGCCCGACACGGCGACGAGCTAGTGCCCAAGGGGATCACGCAGCAGTTCCTGGAGAGCAGGAGGCGGGCCCTTGCACCCAAACATGGGCCTGTCGGGTCGACCACAGAAGATCCAACCATATCTACACTGAGTGCCCAGCTCGGTTCTCTTCCAGAGGTGCCAAGTCTTCTGCTGGCGACTGCGACCGATGGTTGTGAACGCAGCGCGCTTCCATCGTACCTCATTCTTGAAGAGAGGCAAGATCTCAGAAGCGAGCTTTATTAACAAACGCATTAGCTCTTTGTTGATGAAGCTCCACATGGTCCAAAAACGTGGGCAGGGGCCGCGGATAGCCCTCAAGGGCCTTCTTGGCATGCTCATCCACCACACGATTAGCAAAACCAAACCTACGATCATCCCCGTCCAGGTCCTCAAGAGCAGACAGCCCTCGAAGGGCCTAATCGTGGAAAGTGGACACAAACTCTGTTCCTGCTAGTTCATGATCATATAGCCTCGCGCCAGCAAACTTCTTGGATCCAGAAAACAGCTCCTAAGGTGGCCCCTGGGTCTGACAAATCACAGCCTTGCAATCTAGAGCCAACGACGTGGGGCGATCTACAGCTTGCCCTACTAGGGCCGCGCCAGCATGCTCAGCCATCGCAGGGGTTTGCCCACCTGGCCCTACCCCTCAATATGGCAATAATAGATTCGGTGCCTGGCTCCATGAGGGCGATCGCCCACGACGCGCGGTGGAGACAGCGAGGGGCCTGCTTCGTGCAGCTGCCGTCGGGCGCCATCTCTAGCTCGATCGCATCTCCTGCCAGAGACGCAAATTCCTCGGGCTGTATATTAAAATCGTGTCCTGCGCCATCTACAATGTGACAGTTGGAATGAGTGGCAGGAGGGGGCGCATCATCATCGGAAAGAAAACTAACAAACCACGCGTGAAAACAGGATCGTCGCTGTGCGCCTCCAGTATTTACGACGGAATGTCAAGACAGTCGAGCTTCAACAACAGCTGGTAACTCACATGTGTACAATATGTGGTGCAACGTGTCACGCTGACCGCAAGCAAACATGCCGTCAGTCAAATAGCCTGCATCGCGCGCGCGCCCCCATCCAGATCGCATCTGTGGCGCGCGGCAAAAAAGGAACTGGCGCTGCCAGCTATGCTGCCTCGTGCGCGCGCACACGCAAGTGCGCACAATATCAAACGTGGCGCGCATACCATGCACATGCCCTAACCTACGTGCAAGACGAAACTCTGCCTCTCTCTGCAAGCCTTCACGGAGATCGAAGAGGAAGCGAGGTGGGGCACGAGTGATATCAACCGCACAGCCCCAATGGACGATCCACTGCGTTCCTGACACCGCTTTCCCTCCAGCACGACGGGCCGGCAAGGTCGCGCGAGCGAGCGGCCCGCGGCTGGACTTCCAATAGTTAACCTCGCTGGCTTTGGCCTGCTCCCAAAGTTGGAGCAGCCCCTGCAAAGGGGTCAGGGAACGCTCGGGGCTGACCTGGGAATTCCAGAGCATTCGACACCACTGCAGGGCAGAACCAACAGCAGCCCTGGTGTCCAACTCTCCATATAAAACAGCCTTAGCGGTGGCACTGGCCCCACCATGAGAGGGTGGCATACGACGAGACTGGGTCCTTCGCACAGTGTTGAGCTCAAACTCAGAGAAAGCCAAAACCTCAGAACCGTGCGACGACGCAGGAACAACACCAGTGCGAATGACCTGGGAAAGACCTTTCTTGGCTTCCTTATTTGTGGCTCGGGACTTACATCGACCAACCTTTTAGACTCGCAACCTCATGCCCCAGAGCCGAGAGCGTTGTTTAACCCGCGCACGAGCACCCGAACGTTTCGCGCCAGCGCTGTCATCCACGCCGAGATACGATCGAGGTTCTTGCAACCGTGGGCTCGAGCCCGAGGCCACGCACCACCTCTCTCGCTAGTGACGCGTCAGTGGCTACGACGGCTACTTTGTCATTGATTGCCGCATTCATCTTTCTGCTGGCCCGGCAAAAACGCGGCCTGCTGAAATAGCCAGCTGAAGGACAGTCCCCCGCTCGGAGCTAGAAAGCTGGACGCCCGAATCAT